TCCTGGAAAACAGAATATAAAGCAAGAAAAAGTAAAAGTAAGGACTTTTAATCTTAGCTTGAAAGAGAGGCAAGAGAAAAGACAGAGTGATCATTACCTTCTGAAATCGTGAAACTATATCACTAGCAATTGTGCTGACAAGAGCGTTAATGTCATCCATGAAACGTTCTGGAAAACGACTTTTCCTCGGGGCATCAAGCTTATCATTAAAATACAAATGGTGGACCATGCTCTTTACCTGAAAAAAGATGCAAGCCATTAGTTTAGTTTCTTACGGATATAATTAACAATTACAATGACTCAAAATACCTGGGCTATTTTTAAAATATGATTTAACAGATGACTAAATACCTTTAGCTTCTCAAAATATTTCAGAAAAGTTTCCTACAATATTTTGTATGTGCCAAGATAATATCAACCACAATATAGCTCAATCACTACTTTACCTTTAGGAAACTATCCTGGCTATTGATAAGGAAAAAAATGCTGTGTATGTCAAAAGAAAAAAAATTCGCACTTAAAAAAAATTTAATTAATTTTTTTCCAAGACTCAATAATTCTGCCATTCCATATTCCCACAAACTGTCAGCTTTCATGGGTCTTTGCTGTCGTGTCTTCAGCATCTAGTACCTAACGTCATATCGTGGGTATACAATAAATATTTGATGACTAAAAATTAATAACAAAAAGTTAAAAATTGACAGAGTGATTCAAGTTTACAACATGCTTTTACATGTAGACGCTTTATTATAACAACGTGGTAATGGTAAAAAGAATTTTAGGCTTTGGGCGGTGCCTGTGGCTCAAAGGAGCAGGGGGTCAGCCCCATATACCGGAGGAGGTGGGTTCAAACCTGGCTGGCCCTGGCCAACAAAAACTGCAAAAAAAAAAAAGAGGAATGTTAGGCTTAAGGGGAAATTGAAGCTAAGGTTCTATGCTTAGTATATAGTCAGTCAAGTCTTAAATTGCAGTTTTTTGATGACTTTACATTTAAGAAATCTGAAAAAATATATAAAAACGTAAGTGAAAGTTACAATTTTTATCTTACAATAAAAATATATGAATTACAAATTTAGCGTTTATTTTCTAAGAAAAAATGAGTGTTCTGTCACTTATATACATATGGCTCCTGATTAACTTTTTCAGTGGGTTATTAACTCTCTGGAAGACGTGTTTTCTGTCCCTGGTGCCGGCAACATTCCAGGCTGTGAATCCTCCTGTGAAACACTCTGCAGTGAATCCTCCTGTGAAACACTCTGCAGTGAATCCTCCTGTGACACACTCTGCAGTGAATCCTCCTGTGA